AGTTTCATCCAATTGGGCATTGCTCTACGTCAAATATGGCATATTCCTTGCGTTTTATACCTGCACCGCGCCCCTGACCATAGTTGTGGTGATCGCCAGGTCGCACCCTTATTCGAAAATTCCATTCCGTTTTCCGCCGATCCCTTTCCCAGTACAAGCAGAGGAAAAACACCACCTCAGCTGACAAACAGGACGCAACAACACCTGACACCCATGAGCATAATCGGAAGACTGATCAAACAGTAACAACAATGCATTCATTTACATTACTTTCTCAACAGAGACGTTCACATTTTTTCACATGCAAACCCTCAAATAGATTTGTCAATGCACAATCTCTCTTTTGTTGGCCGGGGAAAATATCATGCTAAGTTATTACTGTGACCAGTTAATACCTCACTGCAGCTCTGTCTCTCGTTTTAATTTAAATACGTCGATTGCAAGGCAAGCAAAGTCCAATTCTATGGTACTGTCTCGTTCTGACTTTTCTACCATTTTCATTTATGCTATCTCATTCGAGTGATTGAGTCTGTTCTTATTAAAACAATGTCATCATGGGTTATTCTTTTCTGCACATATTCCCTCAGTAACTCTGCATTCTGGAACTTATTTTTTTGATTGTCTTACACAGCCAAATGACCTCAGTCCTCGATGACAGTCGGTGGGTACAAGGCACGGTGCTTGAGCCGTCTTCCAGTCAGTCCATAGTTCCCGTTGTTCTCGATCCATTGACTACGAATCACTGTCAACTTCTGATTGGCGACATTCAAAATGTTCAGCCGGCTGGAGATTCTTTGAGTAATTGCTTACTATAAACTCATCTTTGTGTTAACGTCGCTCCTTTCTCTTTCTATCTGTTCATTCGGCCAAGCTGCCTTAGTGTCACCCACTCAACCTTAGACTTCGGTGCGCTCCCAGCTGCGGTTCTGACCGCAACCCTACCTCTTACCATAGCAGTAGTCCTAGACCAAATCATTACCAAGGTAAGCAAATTCTAAACACATTTTGGGCGGGTGAGGAACACTAAACCAACCTGTTTACCTACGTTAGTAGAAACGAAATCAGTATTTATCTGCCTTGCTTTTTCCTATCCAATTGAAAACAAAAGGCCATTGGTTCCTAGTAACTTGCAGTAACCGGAAAAATTACCGCTGGCCGATATCTCCGCCCGTGCGTGGCTGGATAATTCAAAATTATTGTGTCATTTCACACCTTTGGAAAGTGTCACATTATTCAACTTGGAAATCTTATGTCGAAAACTGGACAGTGGTAGTTAGTCCAGAATAACCTAGATGCATGTATT